TATTGCCGGCAATGCGAACCAAGCTCTTGCAACGGTTGTATAGGGATCGAATGGCCCGTAGCAATGGGCCAGACACTCCATACTCCCGCAGCACCTCCCACAGGACACCCCGAGGGACACGGTCGAATGCCTTCTCCAAGTCCACAAAACACATGTAGACTGGTTGGGCAAACTCCCATGCACCCTCAAGTATCCTCGAGAGGATAAAGAGCTGGTCCAGTGTTCCACAACCAGGACAAAAACCACATTGTTCCTCCTGTATCCGAGGTTCGACTAGCGGACGAACTCTCCATAGACTTTCCCAGGGAGGCTGAGGAGTGTGATCCCCCTGTAGTTGAAACACACCCTCCGGTCCCCCTTCTTAAAGAACTTACATCCATAAAAACCATGAACAGAGCCAGTGACAAAGTCCAGTCCTCCCACTGGGTCCAATATGGATCTGCAGTCCAAGCTTGGTCAATATGGCCCAAGCTGTTACTGTGGTTGTACAGTGACTGAATGGCCAGATACTCACCCCTAACCGCCCATGTATGATGAGGCCGAGTGCTTCACAATACTCATCTTTTGTTTGGAGAACAGGTTTGTGTTTTTACCTGTTCCCGTATATGTTGAGCACTGATTTGCTGTTTTTTTCCCCTTTGCTTTTTTCCTTCATCAGTCCAAGTCTTAGTTTTAAGTCAGTGATTGTAAAGGCTTGGTTGATGGTACTTCTTGGTCACGCAGGTCTTACAGAGGCAGACGTGGGATTTTTGCTTGTTTTCCTGTTGAGGTACAAAGCAGAAACCACATGGCATGGTTTGTCTCTATACGATGTTGGTTAAGTGCTGTCTTGAATTCTGAATATGTCAGTGACAACGACTCCCAAATCCATCCTACCTCCAGCTCCATGTTTTACACCTTCTCTGCACCTTACAAGGACATAACAGCTGAATTAAAACATTTCAAATTAGTGTTCATCAGAACAAAGTTTCTAATGGTCTAATCTCCATCCCTTTTAATGGGATTTAAGTAGTTCTGGTCTTCCTATTGGTCTTCCTTTAATGTGTTTTTTTTTTTTGCACTTAGAATAGTGTTGGGTTGACTCTGAAGGATTGTTTGCTCTTTAAAGGAAAAGATTTCACCAGCCTGTTTCACTGGTCTGAACTAAGCTTCATTGGCTAAACAACAGAGATGTCTGAGATGTCCTTGCATGCAGATTCATTTGAGGCATCTGTGACAGCCACATGTCTGTGGTTAGTATCTCAGATATTTATTATTTCAGTTACAGCAACTATAACCAGTTAAAGCCAGCTGACAGTAGATGAATCCATATGTAGGGGCTTTAAAACACTCCTAACAATTGCCACAAACAACACATAATGTTTTGTAGAGCACTGTGGGCGTAATTGCATTTGCCATCACTCCAAAATCCACATAACTAATTTTATAAATGTCTAGCCATCAAATATAATATGATGCTCGCTCTCAGACTATTATCCATTCTCTACAGAGCAGTGCACTTGTCATGTTTTTCTGCTCATCAAGTGTTGCACAAATACACATCAGTATGTTTAGAACACTAATTGTTATTATTATTATTATTATTATTATACAAACATGTGTAGCAATGTTTCTTTCATCATCTTTTCACTAGTTTCACACCCACTGTATGTTTTACAGTCTTTGCACAGATTACATCAGTTTTGTGTAGCACAGTGTGCAAACTGGTACAGTGGGTTGTCCCTTCACACAAGGTGGTCCTGGGTTTGACGCCAGGCTGGTTTTCCTCTGTGTGGAGTTTGCATGTTCTTCCCGGGTAGTTCAGCTTCCTCCTGGGACCCTGTGACAGCTGTGATTGGCTCCAGCTCTGCTGCGACTCTATACTGGATGAAAGGAAGGAAAATGCCTGTAAAATGACTTTTGGCGTTTGTCTAAGCAGGCCTGGGATTTGTGGCCTGTTACTTCCTGTTACCAGTCCCTCTGATGGCCATGATGTATCAAAAAAGCTTTTTTGGCATTTTACCTCAGCGGTATAGAAACAGCCAAGAAATGTGGGGCGGGTTAGCAGGGGCGGCCTGGCAAGGGATTGGACCGGGGATTCATTTAGTCCTAGTGGTGTGTGCACCCCAAGCACTCACTCATTTTTATCCTGGATTCACATTCTCGTCTGTACAGTATCATAAATACCACAAAAATGCAGCTAAAGCAGCATGAAGATTCTCATAATTAGTTCATAAAGAACTGATTTAATTACTAATGTTAGTTTTAACAAACTTTTAGAAGGCAGCTTAGAGCCTGAATTCTATTTTCTTTTGTGTAATCTGATGTGTCCCAGTCACAAACTAAGATTATCAAGTAACAAACAAATGTTACAAAAATGTTACAAAAAATGTTACAAAAAATGTTGCAAAAAATGTTGCAAAAAAACCTGTTTACTGTTTCTCCTGGCAGCTAAACGGCTGTGGCGATGTGAGCTACAAACTGTGAACACAAATTTGCATGTGGAACAGAAAGAGGCAGTAAATAAAGTAACAGGTACAACATGAGTATAAGCATAGCAACACAACCTGCTGATCCTGACAGTAAATCCCTTTGGCTGTGTGTGCGTGTGTGAGTGTTGGCGGGTTGATTTGCAATGCTGAGTGCACCGAGTGGGAGGATGAGGAGGAGATGAGATCGAGGGGCAGAGTGAGGGAGAGAGAGGTTCAGGAGGAAGATAGTCAGGAAAACAGTGGATGGAGAGAAACGTAATGCATGTCAGAGCACTCGAGAGTCGCACCAATCTACTGTATTTAGACACACACACACACACACACACACACACACAGCGGTTTGCCCACGCAGGGCCAGAGGTGAGCGTTATTCCTCCCACTACAATTACTTTCCTCTGTTCTATTTCTCTCCGTTCCCCTGTCTCTCTGGCAAACACACTGAAGGACACCTACACACAAAACATTTAGTTTTATAAATGATTTTTGACCTGATAGCTTCACTTACTGTCAGTTTGGCATCAAGACCGACATAATCAGGAGCTCAAGAATTGGAAATCTTTGGAAAATTGGAGTCTGTTTTGTGGGAAAAACTTAAAACCGTTTGTAAGAAAGTTTCTATTTTGTGTAGACTGACACAGACACAAACAAACATGAAGCTTAACAACATAAACAAAGACAACTGAGCAGCACAAATCCTTGACTTTAGTCTCTGTTTTGTGCTTGGAGCAGCAGCTTTGGAGCTGTGGCTGCTACACAAGACATTTCACCCAAATGACCAAAACTTATATAAGCAGCTGTTGATCACACATACAGAAGATTCTGCTGACATTTTTACTTTTCAGTGTCATCCACCATCAGATGTTATTGTGTTTGGTAGGTTCAAGCAGGGTACACAGTGTAGTAGCCAGCTGGTTAACCTCAGACAAACCTAAAGCTTCTTTATCTTGGTGAGATGAGTCAGCCTTTTATTCTGGCTGTTAGAAAAACATAGAAACAAAATGGCAAAAACTAAGACATGGAAAACTCTGCATACAAACGTAAAACAGACAGAGGACTTAAATACACAGAAGGGTAACGAGGGAAATGGAAACACAGCTGACACATGAACATGACGCCACAGGAGAAGCAAAACTAAACACACTGTTTAGTAAAGGTACAAAAATTAAATATGAATGACTTCAAAGAAACCCTCTCAGAGCAGCACCAGCTTCTCATTGAGAGCAATCTGTGCTTGGGTGAGGTTGGACAGGTAGGTCACCATCAACAGGTCATTGATGTTAGAATTGAGCATGTTCTCAAAGTCCTCAGGTGAGATAGTGGGCACCTTGTTTACCAGATCCATCAGGAAATGGCCCACGCTGTTGTCTGCTGTCACCTTGCCAGACAGCACATCCTCAATGTATGCCAGCACTGTGGTCAACATGTCCTGTACCCTGGCTGCAGCACCACCAACCTGAGACAGGTCAGAGGTCAGCCTCTCAGTGTCATAGTGGACCACAGGCAACATAATGGGATGTAGACATGACAACACAAGCTTGACAACATGGAACACACAGACATGAAACACATGACAACAGTCCATAGAGGACAAGACAGACTGCACAGACAAAGACTCAAAACTAAAGGGACCTTGATGATAACTAAAAACAACACAAGAACTCAACATATCCAAATGTAACCTAAGAAATCAAAGACCCAGCGCCCTGACAGGTGCAGGTAGCTGAGTTTAAACACCCAAAGCAACAGATGGTTGCACAAGAGGTGGAGAAAAGAGTGCAGACAGGGTGGAGTGCATGGAGACAAGTGTTTGTTCTGCAAAGATAGCTGCAAGAGTGAAAAGGAAGGTGATCGTGAGACCTGCTGTGGGTTATGGGTCAGAGAGACTCTGGTGCTGACAAAGAAAGGAGGCTGAGCAGAAGATGTTAAGGTCTTCACTGCGAGTGACCGAGTTCGGCAGGATTAGAAATGAGTCCATCATTCAGCTCAAAGTTAGAGAGGCAAGTCCTGCCAAGTTTATCTGGAAATACCGTTTCCCCACTTAAAGGCAGCTGCTGTTTGAAATTCATAAAACATAAGAAACTGCAGCTGAAAAAGAGGAGGTGTAACCTGACGGAGAAGCAAACCATCAGGAATCTGCTGCATCAATGAACAGTCAGTTAAGTCCTCTTACTCACACTTCTGTGCTTAAACTGACTCCTGCTTGGATACCACTGATGGATATCGTGCCATCATACTGGTGTTAACAGTGAGGTAGAGTAAAAACAATGTTAACACATCACAACATGTGTTTTTAAGGCCGGCTGAGAGTTTTTGCAGATACAGTAACATGATGCTGCTCCCACCTCAGAGAACAGGTGTTACACAGATGACCACAAAGGTTTGCTTTTCAGGAAAATGGGAACAATGGTACCACAACCACATCAGTGCTGGGATAAAGCACTATGTGTCCTCTCTATTTTCTCTTGGTGCCATAGATTTGGGACTTAGTGAGACTCCCTCGGCTGCTACCAGTTTCACATGTTTTGAAAATTCAGAGAATTTCACAAAGCGGCTGTTTCTTCTTGCTTCGCCCTAAGCTTGTCCTACTTTTACAGCCCTTAAAATGCTTTATACTTCCTTCCTCTGTTCTCTACCCATGCCTTTACCTCAATCATGCTCATTATCACACCGTTTACTTCTTTAACCACACCGAGGAAGGACCAAAACGCTGCAGAACGTCCCTGTGAATCTCACATCTGTCTAAAACACGTCTCTCTCGTCACTAAGTGTAAAGGCGTGACTGATTCATCATTTCTCTCTCTGTGTCAAATATTCATAAGGATGTTGTTGAGATCTCACATGCACATGCAGGTGTTTTCATGCATACGTGAAGCTTCAGAGCTCAGTGGATCTGTGATCTGTGCCATGAAGTCCTGGCTGCATGCTCACTCTACCTTTGTTTCCTTTGTGTTCTGCTGTAGTTCTTCCCCAAGGCAGCACATGAACAGTGACAGCACAGAAGCAGAAGTTTTGACGCACAATGAAGAACCTGTGACCAGCAAACTCAGCCGGTTAGTGACTCTTAAATATGCACCGTGTTTTTTACGTGTTTTGTGTCGCAGCTCTCGTCTGTTTGGCTTCCAGCCTGCAGCTTGCTGGGTTATATTTTTAACAGTGTCTCTCTCCAGAACTAGAGATGAGGGATAGTCAGGTTAATGACCACAGAGGAATCAGTGAGGAAGAGGAGGAGGGTCTAAGCAGTCTTTTTATCCTCTTAAAGTTGTTTTTCTATCGATCTGGCCATGTGTTGTGTTACTGCACAGCAGAACAGCATGGATGGTAATGTAACTGTTCAAAGCTAACCGTTGGAGGTCTAAGTCATCATCAGTGATAACCCCAAACATATCCTAACCCTAAGTTTTGACTTGGAAAAAAAAGAAATCTTTCTGGTTCGTGTCGGTGAATATTTTCCTCGTCCACCGACTGCCAAGACATGAAAGAACAACTGACCTATTCTGCTAGCAGCAGGTTGGGTTTATCACTGATGCTGACGTCAACCCTCAAACGTTGTGAAGCCCTGTTGGTGCATCCAGCCAACGATGCCGAGATAAACACAGACTAGTGTTGAAGATAACAGCGATGATGATCAGAGTATATGGATGTATAAATGTCTGTGTCGTCTCCTCAGCTTAACCAAACTTTGCACAAACATCATCACACATGCAAAGAATACGAACATCTATATTTCTTTAAATGATTTATTATAACTTCCACATGTTTGCATTTCTGTATGTAGTATGTTCAGTTTGAAACTGTAATTTTCTTCTAAGCTTTTGTCAATAATAAAAGAATAAAAACATATATACATGTAAAAAAATAAATATGTAATAAAAATTAAAACTACTAACAAGATGCTTGAAATGAATGAACGCGATCAGCAAACACCATTACTCCAAATATAAAAAATAAGATGCGCACACATCGAAGCCGGCCGTATAGCTTTAACAGTGTTCATCTATTTACAGCAAAGAGTATTGATTTTACTATTTAGCATCATTGAAACCTTTTAAATGTATTCTGCAGAGCGGGTTGTATCCATCGTTCCAACACAACGGCTGCAGATACCAACCAAAGGCAAAGGTAAGTATGCTTAAAAACACTTTTAAACCACTTCATCAGTACACAACACCTCTACATAAACAGCTTTTCCTACCTTTCATCAGGCTGTGAACGCCTCATAACACACTGGCTCCTTGGTTAAGACCAGATTAGCTTGGTTTTAAATGCTTTTATATAATTGATGTTGAAACAAAGCCTCCCGAGTGTGTGTGTGATGCTGTCCACAAATACACTTTATTCAGTTCAGGTCACTTTTATTTGTATAAAAGTATAGTATAGTATAGCGCCAAATCAGAACAACTCTGAGATCAATAACACAGACAAACCCTGTCGATCACATACAGGATATCTCTGTGTCTCTGAAGCCTGCCTCCTATATCTTTATATACGTTAGAAACTGTGAGCGATACATTTACAGTTTCTCATGTACATGTATGAGACAGGTTTCTGATTTGGTAGCTCGGTCATGTAACTCTACTTAAGCTGCACTAGGAGACATGATGGGCACTCAGGAGTGTGATGTGATTTGATGAAGACTGTTGTTGATGGTGTGATGTGAGTTAATGTTTTGCTAATAGTTTTCATCCATTAATGATGAAACCAGTCAGTTTGAGTCACGTCACATATCTCTGCTCATTAAAACATAATAGTGCTCATTAAAACGTTATTGCACTGAATAATGAGTACAAGTGGTTTTGCACCCTAAACAGCTGTGAGAGATCACTTGCTGTACTTGTGATCTTAGGCTATAGTCTCTGTTTACACAGCACACTTTTGTCTGGAAAAAAACATTTTTGTACACGCATAAAATTGCAGTAGAGTAGTTTATTTCTGGATGAGGAAGTATGTCCTAACAGACTGGTGTAACATGTGTGGCATCAGAAAAACATAAATTCAACTAGAAAAAGTTGCATTTCCTGCGAAAATGCAGTGTGAATGCCTCGTAGTGGAATCTGCTGAAAACTGCAGAAGAAGTAAAACTGTGCTGAGAGGAGGTGAAGAAACCGAAAATTCTGCAGGTGAAGAAACCGAAAATTCTGCAGGTGAAGAAACAGAAAATTCTGCAGGTGAAGAAACCGAAAATTCTGCAGGTGAAGAAACAGAAATTTGTACTGAAAAAAGGTGAAAAAGTTAAACTGTCTGCTGGAAGGAAATGTTGCCATGAGCGGGGTTCAAACCCGGGCCTCCTCGTGTCAAAGCTGCTCAGCTCACTGAGCCAAACTGGTTCTCGGTTAATTGATAACAGGTGAAGAAACTGAAGATTCTGCTAAAAAGAGTTAAAAAAAAAAGTTGAACTGTTAACTGAAGAAATTGTTGCCATGAGCAGGGTTCGAACCTGGGCCTCCCGCTCTGAGAACGGCTGCTCATCTCACTGAGCTAAAACATGTCTCAGCCCGGCGAGCCAAACTGGTGATTACACCTACCGTCCTATTCAGGAAAATGGGCCAGAAAATGGCATAAAAAGCTTAATATCTCAAAAAGTATAACAGTTATGAGCACGAAAAGATATAGCAGGAATTAGCAGAAGGAGCAGAACAGTTTAAAGTTTGAATGGTGAAAACCGGCTGAAAACTGAGGGAGGAGTTAACCAGCAAAGGTCAGAGCAGCTAGAATAAGGTAGAAGAAAGAGAAACAGGATGTCAATAGTGTGAATGAGTTCGTCCATTTTTAGACATTTCTTGTTAAGTCAAGTTTGGGAATCAGGCGTCATCACTGACACGACGCTGGCTGGTTCTACCCCTGAGTGCAGTCTCCAGCTCCATCCAGCTGTGTCACCTGCCAAAGGCCCCGTAACATACTGAAGGATGCTTCACCCTGCGAAGACAATGGGCGCGGTTATATCACATTCCTGCTTTGATGCTGCCTCTGGAGCTGATCCCACACAAAGCACTGCTTGCATCATACGACAGTTCGAGCAGAAGTGGAAGTAGAGGGTTTCAAAAGTGTCCCAGAAATAACATGGGGTTATTTTTGCATTAAAGCTGCATCAAGCTGCACAGAGCAGGTGAGGAGACTGAGGGATGGCATGTAGAGTCTGCTCAAACTTCACAGAGACTGAGCTTCTGCAGACTGAACGTTTACTCTGGAAACATTTTTTCATATTCATATGTACTGAAAGTGTTAAACACCAAACGGCAGCAACAAGATTCCTTCACTTTCTGCCAAAGCCTCGATTTTGATTTCACTGAAAACAATGAAATTACGATGGCATATCCAGGCCAGCTGATCGCTCTCCACAAAGAGCTAACAAAGCTACTGAACTGTTTTCAGACAAAGGTTTCGAGGTTGCATTAAAGCAGATATAACCTGCTCTCTGACAGATGATTATTGGGATACCTGACTGATCAGTAACATTCAGACTGGAGGCAGAAACCAGAACGCTGCTGCTAGTCTGGCTGCAGAGTCGGTGTATTTGTAGGCCGTGATTGTTTGGAGACACTTTGCCTCTGACCAGGCGACTTGTGCAGTCATCTTGTGATGGTTGCACGCTCAGCCTCTTGGTAATGAAATTGTTGCCATAACTACTTGAATCACCGAATCCAAAACGATTCAGTGCAGCCACTGATGTTTCCTGGCTGAAAGCAGGTTGCTGTGCTGTTTTTGCTACACTGTGACTGAAGCATGAAAGAACACAGTAGTTATTGTGAACAGGCGATCAGCGTGTTTGGTGTCGTTGTTTCTCCAGATGGGAAAAGAGCCAAAAGATGAGCGAAACAGAAAAGGAGAGAGAAAAAGGTAATGCACGCCACGCACACACACACACGCACACACAGTATCGAGGGCTTGACTTGTAGGACCCGACTGAATGATAGCTGATTTCTTCACTCAAACATTTGGCTCCACACAGAGCTGAACGTGTACCTGACACGTCTGTGTGAAAGTCAGAGAAGAGACTCAAAGACTCTTTTCTTCTCTGACACATTTCCTCCGACTCGCTCTGCCTGCACTCGTTCTAGCATGCTGGAGTCATACGGTGGCAGCCGTGGCTTCCTCTTCTGTCAGCACCTCTGTGCTTTTGTTTCTTTGGGATGTTGCATGTTTTCACTTGGTTTGGCAGCAGGTTTGTGTTTTAGATGAATACGACCCAGTTGTTGCTGTCAGTTATTAAAGTCGTCATTAAGAACAATAATAACTGCTAATACAGGAGTGTTATTCATGAAAATTGCCAGTTGAGAGTTGAGAGTGAGCTGCTGCATAGGGACACATTCATATTTCCACTGGTCACATGTGTTTTAAAATGGACTGATTCTTATTCTGCACTCAGAGCTTCATACAACACGCCACATTCAGCCACACAAGCACCGTCTTCTACACTTTTAAGTGCTTCTAGTAGGGATGCAACGATACCAATTTTTTCAAACCGATACGATACCGATACTTGGATCTGAGTACTTGCCGATACAGAGTACAAA